GGTCCTCTGAATGGGTGGGGAAATAGGTCTGTTGGAATTTGGGCTTCCCTTCGTAACAGTCTCCGAATATAAAAGTTTGTTTCTCGTGTTCATGCAATCTATTTTTCCATCGACAACGCGCACATTCTTGTCAATAGATATAATTGTTTCTTTCACATTTCCTCTCAATTCAAGTAACTCAGTCTCTTTCTGTTTGAGTTGATTACGTAATTGAATTAAGTCCGTCTTCATTGACTGTTCATTTGAACGAAGTGTCTGAATCACAACCGTACACCTTTTCACTTCATCGCTCTTTTCATCATATGCACTGATTAACTGTAACATATCTCTGTCATATTTGTCTTGAAATTGATCCAGTTGTCTGCGCACACTGTCAAACTTCTTGTTTACATCTTCGTGCAAGAACATTAGTTTCGCCAATACACTTGACAATATGTCCTTGTCCTTTTCCATAGCTACATCAGTAGTAGGCTTCATACAGGCTTGCTTTGGTCTACTTAAGACATCAGTCTGAATCACATGAGCTGGAATAGCACCTTTAACAAACTTATAGAGCAGATACACATCAGATGCATATTTTTCTGCTACGCTTTTAGTTTGACCACTTCTATTGACTCTCTTAATCAAAATGCCCTCTGGAAAGTCTCCACACTCTGCTTTAGCTACATCATAGACAGATTCTCTGATATGATTGAGCCCTGTATCATCATTATCATAGGCGTCAACCAATTTCTGCTCACAAGTCTTTCTATCATTTTCGCCAATTATCTCTTCAAGCTGCTTCAATATATTGTAGTCCCTCATACTGAAAAACAGCCTAACTGTTTATATTACTATATCCTGCTATGCTTTACATCTAACAAAGCTATACATTACTAATATATTAGGGCTTAATTTTATCTATATTTAAAACTTTCTCCCTCTGTAACAAAATCCATATGTTCTAGTATTATATTTGATATATCCGTATTTACATATATACATGTAAAATTAGATACATTTAAACGTAAGTAGCATATAACCGTTGAAATTAAAAGGTCTACAAGAAGATGTATTTCTTATAATAGAAGGTCCATACGGGTATTTAGTATTTCGTTATGAAAAAGAGTTCTCTTGATATTCAATACTTGACATTTCCCCACATCCTACTTTTTGTTTTGTTTATGGTAAAAGTTAATAAGAGGAGGTTTGGTGGGGGGCTAGAGGTATCTTTTCAGAGGGTGTTATTCTGGCATTACCCACTATTTATTGGAGGATATTGGAAATGAATATAGACTGACATGATGTCTGACTACAGATAGGATTTGTTATCTTAACAATCACCGGGGATTTCACATTAGAGGTGATTGTTACAATTGCCCAAATGATCCTGCTGAGTATTGGTGCTTAGTGATGTCAAATGGAACAATTTATTATTAGAGGAAATTGGTAGTGAATACTTAATACCATCTATACAGGATATCTTCAGGATTTTTAGCCCTTTCTTTCTCTGTGTGTAATTCTGATGGAAAGAAGTCACTCAACCAGTTCATGCATTCCATGGTAAACAAAGATCAGACTTTGTTGGAATCCGTGTTTATACGCGACAACTTCCCACTGGTGACATTTTAGTGAACTTGGGAAGTGGTGATGCTTTTTTATATTCATATTATTATAATCTGTCAAACTGTACATAAATGTGTGTGTGTTAAATCATAAAATTTAAAGAGACTGTTCCCGACACCCATCAATATCATAATGAATGAACATTGGTTTATTGTATGGATTTATATAAAGCTCTCACTAAGTATATGTTTTACATGCATGAAAGATTGGAGAAAGGAAATATTTTCCTGAACGTTTCCAATAACTAATAGAGGAAATTGGAAATGGCTGAACCTGTAGATAGCGCCAAATCCGTGATGGATATGACAGATCTCATGGGGTAACATTCTAGAATAGAATAGAATAACTAGAATGTTTCATATATGCAAAATTGTATATGCCTCAGTGTGGTTTATCAACACATTTGTAATGCTTATTCACGCTTGGAGTGCCAGACTGAAATTGAACATTATGATAGTGTCATCAGGGATAATAGAGGTCATAAGACGTGGCATATGAAGATCATATATAAATATGTTTCAGTTACATAGACAGCAGACTAGATTATTTACAGCAATACAGTTCAAATATTGTGTTCAATAAAAGAAAACGTTGATTTTTAACGCTCTTATTTTTGTACTATTAAACAAACTGTGGACTTTAAAGACGTGTTGGCTTACTGTAATAACATCAAGGTAAAAATCATATCTTTCTCTGAAATCCACGGGCATAGTTGCTGTCAAACATAAGAAATAATCAGGGCGGCAGGTGTTGACTTGTCGTGTGCCTTAAAGTGAGTTTAAACATGTCAAAAGCGATTGACGCTACAATATATGGTCATTTACTCCAACGTTCTAACTGTCAATCGTCTTAACAGGACCATAACGTTTGTTATAATATCGACGACCTGTCTCTATGTCTTAAGTTGTTAATCGGTAACTGCGGTCCAAATTTGTCAACTTATTCATCTATTGTTGCAAACTTGACTGATTGTTTACACAATAAAAATTCTAATTGATCATGCACTACTGAGGCAGTCAAGCACCTGTATAAGAAATATAAAAGCAGCCATGTTACATGTAGTCCCATAAGCTGGCAATTATTTCGCCGCAATGTAACTGAAACAATGCTGATGTGACGTGACATATAAACTTACCCGCAGACAATGCATTTTTCCAGAGAGTGTAGCACAAGTTTATCAAAGTTTTATTTACAATTTGAAAAACTATAATAATATGAATATTAAAATTCATCATCACTTTTGAAGTTTACTAAAATGTCACCAGTTGGAAGATGTCACAGATAAACAAGGATTCTAAGTTTGATCGTCACAGGTTTTTCCCCAATTTGCCAGCACAATGCAGAGGATTAACAGTTACTGTGAGTGAGCATGGTTTTACGCCGCTTTTAGCAGTAACTGTGTTTATACAAGCACAGAAGTCATGCCAAAACGCTCACAGTCGTTAGTAAGTAAACTCAACTGAGGATTATATAAGTATCCATCACAACCTTTGAAAGCTAACACGTGAATAAACTCAGTTCACTGAAATTTAAATAATTAAGGCACTTGCAACAAAGACGAGGTGCCAGCCTACACTGGAAATGCTGTATGCTGCATGTCCAGCCTCCATCAACACCTCCAGTGATCTTTTCGCGATTCCGAGCCTTGCGCATAACCATTGTCATGACCTGGTTAAGTGACTTCCTTCCATCAACGTAAAATCCTATCCAAATGGTATAAGTACTCACAACCAATTTCCTCTGATAGTAAACTGTCACCTTTGGTATCCCCAACAATACTCACCATGGTCATTGGGCAAATGCAAAAATCACAAACACTAACGAGATTCTGTCTACATGGTCACACTCGGTGATTGTGAAGATCTAAAATTCTATCAACAGTGAGACAAAATGGCTGTTCATATTCATTTCCAATATCCTCTTCGAATTAGTGATAAATGTTAAGTCCCACACAAATCTTCCTCTTAATAATTCTACAAAATACCAAACAGAAAGTTGGGTGTGGGAAAATGGGACAACGGGTGCTCAACCCATGTGCAACCCGTAGAGCACCCGTGTCACATGCGTGTTACACGCGTTCTCAACGCGTGTTAGGGGAATGAACTTTTAGGCAATAGTGTAGATTGATACTCATGATGTCAGTCACTGGATTGTCTGGTCCAGATTATTTTCACAAAGTTGTCATATAGCTCGAATATTGCTGTGTGCGGCGTTAAACAACATACATAAAAAACTATTCACTTTACTTAATGGGTGAGTGAGTATGGCTTTACGCCGCTTTTAGCAATATTCCAGCAATGTCGCGGCGGGGACACCAGAATTAGGCTCCACACATTGTACCCACACTTTACTTAGTACTGTACTGTCGATGTAGCTTAGGGCAGAGGGGACCTTTGTGGAGGGTCGTGCACGTGGGTACAATGTATATATGTAGTGCATTCCTGGTACGTATACACGTTCCAAAAGATATCTGGAATATCTGGAGGTTAAAACCCAACTCCTTTATGATATGAGTGAGTGAATTTCATTTTACGCCGTTTTAGCAATATAACAGCAGTGTGACGGTGTGACGGCGGGCGACAACACCAGAAAAAGGGATTCACACATTCTCCCCATGTAGGGAATCGAACCAGGGCCTTCGGCGTGACGAGCGAACGCTTTTACCACTAGGTTACCCCGCCGCCCCACTATAATATGATGATAAATAACTGAAGATGATTATGTTCTAAAATAGCAACGGCTTTGGTTGATTTTCAGATTAAAACAGTTGCCGAACACCAGGGACCACACGATGTTTAAATATATGAGCGGGTCATAGACGTACTTTGGAAAACCACCACGCACGTGTATCCTCCGAGGTCAACAAGATTATAACCAGCGTGTATCTGGGATTAGATCACAACCAGGGTGTTTCTGGGATTAGAACACATGGTTAGCGGATCCTGCTTTTTGTAGAACTCAGTTTCTGAACACTAAAAACAGCGCCGTGGACACGAGACCAACTGTGTCCCTTTTATATATATTATCAGGAATCACTCACATACACCTGCTATTTCATGATCTGGGCTTAAATTCTGATCATGCAAAAGGTATTCTATTATGGCCTTCTTCTTCTCAATCTGATAACGTTGGTAATCATTTTGTGTAGTTCAACCTATTACATTCTGTCCAATGTGAAAATAAAAAAAGCTTTCAGCGGGAACAACGAGATTAACTTAGACAATTGGACTGGAAAAAGAATGTCTTCATATAATATTCAAATGAACACCACAACATGCCCCTTTAACTTCTCAATTCCTGACGAAACAATCAATCAAGTGTTTACAAGATGGCGGACTACTAAACCCCGTGAGAATCTACTGACAACGTCATCTAAAGGTCGCCTTGGAAACCATATGTTTCAATATGCTTCACTGTTGGGAATCGCGTTCTTAACAGGAAAACACCCCCTTCTTGAAAACTCGGACACACTTACAAAACTCTTCAACATATCCTTCATTGGAATCGTCAGCAAGAAAACCAAGATCTTCTTTAATGAGGTGAAGTATGCATCACACGACTGCGATCACTACAACCTACCTGATGTGACTGTTCAGCTAAACGGGTACCGACAATCGTGGAAGTATTTCTCCTCTGTCAGATCAGAAATAAGAAAGGAGTATACACTCGTTCAAACATACAGGGATCTCAGTGCTCAATGCTTCCAGAAATATACAAGTCGACATAAAAACAGAACTGTCATAGGGTTACATGTACGGAGGACAGATATGACATGGAACACCAAACATGGCTACACGGCTGCCCCGTTATCCTACATACGTAAAGCTATCAACCATATGAAAACAAAGTTCCAAAATCCTATTTTTCTAACTGCCACCGATGACAAAAAATGGTGCAGAGAAAATCTACAATCCTCGGATGTCATCCTTATGGAAAACACGGATCCTTACTTGGACTTTGCAACCTTGACCTTGTGTGATCACATGATAATGACAGTAGGCACATTCGGATGGTGGGCTGCCTGGTTGGTCAATGGGTATACTGTGTACTACAAAGATTACCCCAGAGCAGGTTCCCCGCTTGTTTCTGGGTTCTATAAAGAAGACTATTTCATGCCAGACTGGGTTCCACTTGGTGCGTGAACTTACTATGGGTAATTATCACTTTTTGTACCCCCTTTGGTCCTGTTGAATAAACAAAAGCAAGTCCAACTTTTACTCATTTGGGAAAAAGGCATATTCATGCATGTGAAATGAAAGGAATCAAACCGAAAATCGATGGGTAATTAGGTATGTACCCCTTTTGGTCCTGTTGAATAAACAGAAATTAAAACTCCAACTTTTAGTGATTTAACAAGAACCATCTTAACGTAACAAATGGTTTGGTAAATTATGCCAACACAAAGAAACATTATTTTGTCATACTTTAAGTATACAAGAGAAACAGTAGAAGTTCATTGCCTTGGTGTGATCATTACAGTTATCAATAAATTGCAGAGAAAAAATGAATACAATATTTCTTTCAGTGTATTGTTATGCTTTAATATGTTACCTCTGCCTGGAACAGAATACGAATGTCACTTTTAATATTACGTTTTAAATCCTGGTTCACTCTTTGTGAGAATTAACAAGCAATATTGACAATTTTCTCTTCTCTGTGTCCCACACATAGCCAAAATGATAGTTTCAATATTCTTTATTTATTGAACATGTTCTTTGTACTTATGGACAAGCATGCTCAGCAATGTGTGTTTACCTGCATCATTTTCAGAATTTCCTCTGGTAACACCAAAGACAAAACGGTTACGCCAAAGACAAGGACATTGCCATTACTTATATAGATTTTTCTTTCATGTTACAATAATCAATCAGTAGCAAATGATGCACAATAGTTGATGGCATCAGACAGTTTTTTCTCAACGTTTACTTAGAAGCAAATTCTGCTGACTTGTAGTAACACTTAGGACATATTACGTAGGGTGATTTATATATTTGAGTTATAATATGAGTTAAGAGTAGTAATTACAATGGCATCAGATATGTTTTACCTGTTAACACTAAGACATATTTTCATTCAACATGAAATAAAAATACAAATGACTGCTCCTTGTATAGTAGCCGACAACATTCCTTACCAGTGCATTTAATTCTTCTATTATGCATGTGAGGATGTTTCTGAACGAAAGAGTTTTCTTATTAAGAAGGTTACACCAAAGGCATGGAACTTTCATATGGTAATGCTTGGTGTTACCTTTTTCCCGTTTGAATGTCCTTTTCTTTTGTTGACTCAAAAACCTTTTCTCTGTGGAAGCCAGTAATTGATATCATAAGGGAGCATTCATTTACCTTCTTTCTGCATAAAGATGGATATATCTTACACCTTAGAAAGAAAATGGTAACATGCTTCACTTATTTATCTATTATTTAAAGGTAGAAACAAAGAGAAAAATTATGTTTATTTTGAAGACTAATCTCATTAGAAAAATAACATAAAAACTCACGTATGTGATATATAATCTGAAATATGTTCACTGAAACATGCATTCAGTGTCTATTGACAGTGGTATTTCAACAACTGCAGACAATATACCACTCCAACACAAGCAATTAAAGCACTGATGAAGCAAATGTTTCATAATATATGTCAATTTGGTGCCCCACTGAAATATTAGGGATGAAACTTAAGGGTTATCTTAAACTATGAAAAATACAGATTATTGACAAGACATGCTTTTTGGATGGCCTGGAAGTAAGGTCAAGTGAAGGCGACAAGACACAGTTTTGGGTTGGCCTGGAAGTAAGGCCAAGAGAGAGAGCGGCAAGGCACAGTTTTGGTTGGCCTGGCAAAAGGGCCAGACAAACTACTGGTGGATATTATGAGCAACGCCCCACGTCATCAGGATACGAAGACCACTCGATACATGTTGTCATTTCATTTTTACGGCTGTTTTGCCCTTTACGCCAAATGGAATCAGTATCGACAGAAAATCGAGTATGGTTGTTCTCTTGAATTGACAATTAATTTTATATTAACGATGAGAATATGTTGACTGATTTTAACCCAGAATCCCCCTGACAATTCGGTCTTGATCTGAAAAATATATTCAAAGTTCACATTTGATTAAATAATTTGGTTGGTTGGTTTGTTGTTTAACGCCGCACTCAGTAATATTCCAGCTATATGACGACGGTTTGTAAATAATCGAGTCTGGACCAGACAATGCAGGGATTGATATCATGAGCATCGACCCACGGAATTGGGATCGATGACATGCATCAACCAAGTCAGCGAGCCTGACCACCCGATCCCGTTTGTCGCCTTTTATGACAAGCATAGTCACTTTTATGGCAAGCATGGGTTGCCGAAGACCTATTCTACCCCGGAATCTTCATGGGTCTTTGATTAAATGCCCACTTGGATGTAAGTGATTAAGGAGTTATAAACTTGAGAGCAAAAAAACTATACCTTTCAGTTGGTTTTATCATAATTTGTGTTTTACTTTCATTTGAAAGATATCTTGAGTTAGCGATATCATATTAAAAGAAATAACTGTACTTGCGCTTACTCAGCGCTGAAAGAATGCTTCTACGTGGTTTTATTTTTACAACTATAATTTCATTTAAAATGTTAAAATTATTTTAAAACAATTCGCATAATACACATCTGCTAAAGAGTATCGTAGACATTCTATCTTCAAAAATGAAAACAGTGGGGTGTTTTTCGCACAAATTTACAACATTTCACAAGGTGATTGCAAATTCATTTCTGACCCCAGTCTTCATTGAACCAATTTATTTTTACACACGACTACCTAGCCACAGAGTACTTTTTTACAAACTGTTGCACAAATGTATGGAATACTGTAAGGGACATTCTCGCGATCTCGCATTCTCGCGATCTCGACCTTTGGAAACGAGCTAAATATGCCCAAAACATGAGAATGCGAGATCGCGAGAACGGGAGATTAGGCCACAAAAACACGAAATCGCGAGAACGCGAGAATGCGACATTTCATTTTCTCGCGATCTTGCGTTCTCGCGTTTTAGACGCTGTCCGTGCGCATGCGTAATATCACAAGGTCTAGGCCCATGCGCACGTTAGTAGTCCTTTGGTCATGCTTCTTTCATGCTCTTCATTCTCCAAGTAGCATTTAGCAAACTTATGACTTGAGCTTGAAAATGCTATGTAATTTACATACACAATATTGCTAAAAGCGGCTTAAACCCATACTCACTCACTCACTCACAAAGTCTGAGTCATCTCCCGTTGTTACAGTTTCCTATGTACTTTATAATAAAACCCTCAACATGCTCAATATAAATTAACAAAAGAAATTGTGTACAAGAATGTCTAATGATAGTGAAAACATTAATGTGTCCGAAAGCTGGAAACAAAACTATTACCGTCAGTGAGTGAGTAATATTGCTTAAAGCCGCACCAGCAGTACTTCAGTTACAGAAATAATCACAGGCCAGTGAGTTTCTCCATGAGGCAATGTTATACACGGCTAGCATATTCATGAAAGGCAAAATTCTCATAGACCAATTTGAAATACAAAATTAATTATCATATTTTCATCGCTCCAACCTGACTACAAAACATCCCGCTTTACATTATTTTATAGTTAAAATGGATAACATTATCATTAAACCGCCCGCATGTTATCATAAATAAGCGGGCCACTGTTAAAGAAATAAACGACGAGTGGGGGTACAATACAACACTGCAGGGAGAATAAACCATGAGGGGCGAGTGTTTTATTGTACAGTAAACAACAACCACGAGTCGTTTAATGATTATATGAGATATCAACATTATGTACAGCCTCTTTAAGGATGTTGATAAAATGTACAAGGTTTAAAAATATTTACCCCTATTTAAGGCGGGTATTTCCCGCATATGCTCACACAATCCACAGGTCGATTACACGTACCTTTTCTCCCAAAACCGATTGTCATATTGTAACCGGGGATTGTGAAGGAAAATACAATTTCAAACATAGGCTACGGGTGTGAGTGTTTATTGCCAGAGTAGATAATGACATCCTTTAATGTACAAAACAATAACATTATAAAAACAATATTGCATTGGTTTCATACACACACATATTCACACATTCATTCAGTTCATATAAACATACGTCTATATTCTGTACATGAACATAAACTTAATAATCAATGATATACAAAATCATTATCTTAACCCTATAATAAACAAACAATTCATCAAGGGCGATAACTCGATCCCGACATCACTCATAAGATACAATATAAACCTGGTCCATGTTGTAAAATACACTTAACATTATAAATACAATTACCACTTTCTTGAAACTGCTGTATTTATTCAGTAACTCACATATATTTGGCACGATACACTATTTACAATTCATATTTCGAGACACGACAAACATGTAAATTACCCGTACCCTGTGGGTGACACTGGGATGTTTATCGTCTTCATGCAGCCGCCATTACGATGGAAATGCCTCAACATCTATGGAAAGCAACCTGACGGTCACTTCCCTCTTACAATTAACGTCGTCACTCACTGCGTTATAATGTTACAAGATCACAATCGAATCAACAGAAATGAGGTCATGATTAATCGTATAATACATCCCGCTTCGTTCTTCAATGTTCTTAGCGATTAAACGCGTAGTCTTCTATAGAGTAAGTGCGAGAGTTGGGTTTAACACCGCTTTTATCAGTATTCCAGTTATATCACAGCGTGCCAGCTTAATATGAGAGGAAAGCCCGAAGTGATGCAGGTCTCAGACGTTTACCTCTTCGATGAAGCCCACGAGAACGGGTATGGTGAAACAAGAAACATAATCAGGGCGAACCGGGATTCGAACCCACAATCATAGGTTTCGGGCGTGCCCAACTGACGCAACTCTGCACAGAGAATCGCGGCGCCTTAGACGACTGGGCCACCCTAACGAGTGTTGATATATTTGATGTCAGACTGCCGTCATATAGCTGGAATATTGCTGAGTGCGGCGTTAACAACAAACAAACAAAATCTTTCTGAAAAATACCATTAGGCATCCATGTTGGTTATTTGACTGTTAGTTGTCAGACAATATTTGTCAAATTCAGTCAGTTCACAGGCAAGAAAGGGAGCGTGTTCTTGACTTTATTATGTTACCAGTCTACATATATATTTCTGTTTAATCAAAAGACTTGGAAAATTTGCATTCAGACATTGTCAAAAGTCACGTGATTTTGAGCAGCCATTTTGAAATAAACTGCATTAATTTGCAAAGCAGAAATTTCTATAAACGTTGTGGTTCATTTTGTCGTTTTGAGGGCGGTCGGGTAGCCTAGTGGTTAAAGCGTTCGCTCGTCACGCCGAAGACCCGGGTTCGATTCCCGACATGGGTACAATGTGTGAAGCCCATTTCTGGTGTCCCCCGCCGTGATATTGCTGGAATATTGCTAAAAGCGGCGTAAAACCATACTCACTCACTCGTCGTTTTGATGTCAAAAGAC